TCAAAATAGATTTAACTCATTTAATCCTTCATATGATTGATACTTAATTACATGGGATAGACTCATTCATAGTACACTTGTTGTATGCTGACATGGCATACACTCATTGCATGAGTTACACGTGTCTCTACTCTTTTCAGTACTAGCAAAGCACTGACATCATTTACAATTATTTATGAATCATCAATCATCCGCACAATGAACAAGAAAGCTCAGCTCATCTTTATTCTGTGGAGCTGGCCAAGCTCCTCGTTCACTACCACCACCACCTCTCCATCACCTTCCTCATCATGAAACTACCTTCTAACTCCGAAGTCAATGCCTACCGCGACTCAGTCTCTGCAGCCAACCTTATCCACTTCGTTCATCTTCACAATGATCACCTCCCAATGTTGTGACTATGGCATATGTGCTTCCAGCTTGTAATCCAATGGGAAGTATAGAGTTGGGCAAGCAACTTCACGTATTTTCTATCCACCATTTGTTGGATTAAAATGTCTTTGTAGGCTCTGCTCTTGTTGATATGTATTCTAAGTCAGGGTCAATTTCTTATGCTGAAAATGTGTTTGCCCAAACCTCTAAAAAAAATCCTGTCACATATACCACAATGATATTAGGTTATGGTCAACTTGGGATGAGCAAGAGAGCTGTCTCTTGGTTTCACAGAATGCAAGAATGTGACAGTGAACCTGATGCTGTTACCTTTGTTGCAGTGTTGTCTGCTTGTAGTTATGCCGGCTTGGTTGATGAAGGTCTTCACATATTTGAGTTGATGGAGAGTAAATACAAGATTCAGCCCTCAACTGAGCACTATTGTTGTGTTGCGGATATGTTATGTAGGGTTGGGCGGATGGTTGAAGCCTATGAGTTTGTCCAAAAATTAGGTGAAGAGGGGAATGTGTTGGAAATTTGGGGTTCACTTGGTGCTTGCAGACTTCATGGAAAATCTGAATTGTGAGAAGTTGTGGCCAAGAANACTATTGTTGTGTTGTGGATATGTTAGGTAGGGTTGGGAGGGTGGTTGAAGCCTATGAGTTTGTCTAAAAATTAGGTGAAGAGGGGAATGTGTTGGAAATTTGGGGTTCGCTTCTTGGTGCTTGCAAACTTCATGGAAAATCTGATTGGGAGAAGTTGTTGCCAAGAAGTTGCTTGAATTAGATGCAAGAAAAAAATGACGAGCTATCATGTTTTGCTCTCAAATATCTATGCAGAAAAAGGAAACTGGGAAAATGTTGACAAAGTAAGGAAAGAGATGAGAGAAAGAGGGTTGAGAAAAGAAGTTGGATGTTCTTGGATTGATACTGGAGGTTATGTGAACTGTTTCGCGTCTAAGGATCAAGAGCATCCGCAAAGTGATGAGATATATGAGAAGTTGGAAAGATTAGCCATGGAAATGAAAAATGCTGGTTATAGGACCAACCGAAGCTCTAATCTAGATGCCATCTCCCAGTTTAATGAATGAACTGGAATATTCATTATGGACTTTGAAAATGGGAGAATTAAAACCATGTTTAGTGAAGACAATTAGCTGCAAAAATGTTGGCTGTTGAAAGGCCAATAGTTGGTCATTTAATTATTGTGGATACAACATGATGTTAGGTCTAAATCGTGGTCCTGTGTCAAGATTGACAAATTCGATCAATGCTCAACTTGCTCAGTTGAGCAGCTCAGTGTGTAGCATGACGCAATTATCTGGATGTTTGCATGGTCTTTAGTGGTTAAGTTAAGCAATGGAGACTAAATTAGAGTAAAGTGGATAAGCTGCTCAACTTTATTTAATCAGGCCTTATCTCATTGATCAGGTAAAATACAGAAAAACTTTCATTCTAGCATGATGGTAAAAATTTCACCTTTAAAAAAATTATATCACTCTATGCTCAGCAGCAACGGGACTTTATATATATGGTGCATGAATTTCTTTATTGGATCTTTCACACTTTTTCAATTGTAGTGGCTGCTTTCTCATTGCTTCTTAGTTATGGATATCTTCTTACGTTCTATCCTCTGTTGTGATCAAAGCATCTTCTTCATTGACTTAGTAAAGTGACCATACCTAAATTTTTATCGTAGAATCTGTCTTTTGGGTGAACACAAAGAAGAAAATGAAAGATTGGTTTAAAATTCATCTGAGAAGTTTTTGTATGTAAAATTGTTATATAGTTTCTATTATTTAAATTTTCGATACTTTATTCTTGAAACTATTAGGATTCTCTTTAAGCTGATAGTTTAGATATCTTTTTATATCTCAACATACGAAATCATTTCAGGTAGATAGATTGGTAATGTGGAGAGTTTGGAACTTATGCCTGAATAATGGATGATTGAAATCGAAATTTGAACTAATTTTGTCTTGGTTGGGAATAAGTTTTAAAAAATTAAAACCCAAGCAAAAGTTTAAAGCCATTTCCAATTGATATTTAAGATTTGACATTCATTAAGTTAAGAAGAAAATGCCTATTTTGGATTTTTTATGGTCTTTTGTTTTTGCTTCATTCTCCTTGGAACGAGTTTTCGATATGTTGGTCGATGTGATGCTCTAATGGATATTCACAAGAATCAATCAATTCAAAATTTTGTAATTTCATTTTCCCTTTTTTTTTTTTGAGAATATCAATTATAATTGTGACAGGAACAAATGTTACATGGATTGCAGAACTCAAAAAGACCATATTCTCCCTCTAGCACATAATCATCTGTAATCGAGCAGCATGATCATGGAGTGGCCAGGTGAATCAATGCCATTTGCTAGTTTGTGCCAGTGTTCCTCTGCGAACCATATGAATTAAACCTAGGAGATTGAAGGAGCTATAGCAGTTAACCTTTAGTCGGGCATTCTAAGTTCCAAGTTCTAACCTTGTTTTCTCTTCCTTCAAAACAAGGTTTTGCCTTCTGCGTACTTGGAGAAAGATTGGTCTATGATAGTGTTTGAGCAAGCAAGGAGGTTCCGAATGGTTAAGGGTATTGTTGTAAATTCATTCATGGAGCTGGAGTCTAATATGATAAAGTCTTTCTCAAATGGTGAAACCAACATCCCACCCGTTTATTCTGTAGGACCCATTTTGAATCTTGAGGGATAGCATTGATTTAGGGTCAGGTGGGTCCAAAACAAAAGCAGAAATCACGGAGTGGCTTGATGATCAGCCGCCATCGTCGGTTGTGTTCCTATGCTTCAGGAGCATGGGAAGTTTCAATGAGGATCAGGTGAAAGAGATTGCTTGTGCACTCGAGCAGAGTGGACATCGGTTCTTATGGTTCCTACGTCAACCTCCACCAAAGGGTCAGTTCGCCATACCAGGGGACTACACAAATCCAACGGATGTGCTGCCAAAAGAATTTCTCGATCGAACGGTCAAGATTGGAAAAGTAATCGGATGGACTCCACAAGTGCCAAAAGAATCTTAGTTTTACTTTGTCATAAAATTATAAAACTATTGACGTTCAAGATTTGACATTGGCATAATTTGGATGGATTCTCTTGGTTTCTTGTTTTCAATATGTTGGTTGATGTCATGCTCTAACGGATGTTCACAAGACATATTGTCTGAAAGTTTTGAACATAAATCACTAAAGTAAGGTTAGATTCATTAGAGTCTAAAAAGTAATACTCAGCTACTTTTCAATTTCCAGTTATTTGAACACATACAGGTCTTCTCCCTATTAGCAAAGCATTTACATCATCACTGATTTATCGTCTTGTTTACATAGATGGTTTTACTACAATTAATTTCTATTTAAAATCCATTAATTTTCATTGAATTTTACTCTCAAAACTCAAAAACACAATAACCAACTTCAATGAACAAGAAAGTCGACCTCGTCTTCATCCCTACACCAAGCGTCGGCCACCTCGGCTCCACTGTGGAGTTGGCCAAGCTCCTCGTCCACCGCCACCAACGCATCTCCATCACGGTCCTCGTCATGTAATTACCCTTTGACTCCAAAGTTTAACACCTATCTAAACTCACTCTCTGCTAGCAACCGCATCAACTTCGTTCATCTCCCAAGCGATGACCTTCAAGGATTCGACCCAAAAGCTTCTTCACTTCGTTCATTGAATCTTGTAAACCCCTCGTCAAAGAAGTAGTCCCTAAGTTAGCTCACTCTGAGTCAGCCTCCCATGACTCACCTCGACTCACCGGGTTTGTCCTCAACATGTTTTGTACCAGCATGACTAGTAGATTATTAGTATAATCAATTCATTAGTTTAGTTAGCTAGTTAATCTGTCAACTAGTTAGTTAAGTGGTTTAGCTGAAAAATGATAGATTGACGTACTACCGGTCAGATCCAATCGATAGTACGCCATTATACTAGATTTCGGCCACCTTTAGGCGGTGGTGATCGGAATCTGACAAATATGGGTGATAAGGGTGTTTTTGTCAATTTCTAAATTTTTTACTGTGGATGTTTAGTCAAATTAATAAACTTAAGGGATTTAAAAATAGTTGAATAAAATATAATAACATTTTAGGAAAATAAATTGGTATTTTGGAAATAGTATAAATAGAATAGTGAAAAATGTTAAACCAAACAGACCTAGAATTCCCCAAATTCAAATCTCCTTCCCAAATTCATCTGTCCTAAATTTGCAAACCAAACAATAACCAGCTGAGGTGGCATATGCCATGTAGGATGCCACATTATGAAATAAAAAAAATTGTGTATTCATACTTAAAAACAAAAATTGAATGAAATAAAATAAGAAAATGAAGTATAATAAGACAAGGGATATTAAAGTCTTTTTATGTTATACACCCATTGATGTGTCTAACTCTCATGTTGGTTCCACACATCCACTGACACTATTAAACAAACGAGTAATGCTATAGTTATTGAAAGTAGTGTACCAAATTCATGTATCGAATGACGTGATATAATCCTGATCGTCAATTAATACAAATTACATCACATCATTCGATACATAAATTTGTTACACTCCTTTTGGTAGCTCTATTATTTTCCTAAACAAATCTTTCACTACAAATAAAAATATTTTCCAACCTAGAAAGCTCAAACATAATATTAACACTTAATAATAAAATTCGGTACACTCCTTATGGTAGCTCCATAGCACTCTCTATGTAACGGCCAATGCTATTTCCATCGCTGGCGCATTAGCTGTCGCTTCCTTATTAGCTGAGAACTCAACCACTGGCTGCAGCAAGTTAGTATAGTGGAATTCGATTTGTAGCCGGTGATGAAGAGGTGTTGATGCCATCAAGCCCTTCTTTATATCAGCCTGCAATTCGCGTAACGGGACTGCAGCCAAGAAGCTCTTGATATACTCTTTGCACGACTCCTTCCCTCTACACACGATCTCTTCTTCCTCAGTGGTTTGAGACTCGTTCTGGGAAACTATCTGAGTCTCTTGCGCTGAAGTTTCCTTCGATGAACTTCCTTGTGCTTTATCAATAGCAGATTTTTCACCTGAAGGCTTAGTCTCCTTCGATGAACTTCCTTGTGCTTTATCACTAGCAGATTTTTCGCCGGAAGGCTTCGTCTCCTTCAATGAATTTCCTTGTGCTTTACCACTAGCAGATTTTTCACCTGAAGGTTTCATCTCTTTTGGCAGTCGCTGGATTGTAGTGTCTTTGTCGAATTTCAGGACATAGGCCTGGTTGCATCCCTCATAAAGTCTCTCCCCCAAAGTATCAATGATATAGTAAGCATCATGGTCAACCTTCAGCACGAAAAAATGGTCATTCCAACTGACGATATAAATCGAAGGGTCAACATTGCCAGGAGAGTTGGATCCATAACGAATGATCTCCTCCCATATGCTGTCAAATGACATCGCACCCTGAAGGAAGTCAAAATCCTTTCCTTCCGGGCCTTCTGGATGGAAAAAACCAACAAAAGACTTCTCTGGTACCATAGATAGAGGACGAATTTTAGCTTGAAGGACTGTATCGAGATCAAAGTGCTTGTCAGGAAATTGGCGTATATAATCCTCATTCTCACAGAGGTTTCTCCACTCTAGAGATCCTTCCCTGATGAGATTATCAAATTCATATTTAATCGGCATTTCATCTCGATTGGACTGCAACCAATTGGCAATGACAGCAACAAGGGCAGTACATGCACTCTTGCCTGCAGCACGTTCATTCCTCTGATCAATGGAAGCAAAGAAAACTTGAGCATGTAGCTTCAGGTGTCCATCACGGCTTATTATTTCTTTGTTTTCCCAGCTGCCAACAGCAAAATTGTCATCTCCAAATTCAGAGATTGATAACTGAACCATTAAACAACACCACATTTATGATGAGTCAGTTACCCAGTTCACTGAAACAGGGACGTGTGTTTATCTTGGTCCACTCGCCCCGTGACAGGGGCAGGCGCAATAACTCAATGCCTTCAGATATGGACGGTCGAGATGATAATTTAAAAAAAATTATTTTGATTCACAAGCGTGATCTCGCCCGTCACACCTAAGCCGGCGGTGACCAGGCCACCTTTTTTATTCCTTTATTATTAAATAAATATTTTTCTCATAAACTGGCATAATAATTATATCATCATCTTCATCAGCCCTTTGTCCTGTATATAACTTTCCATCAACCTTGTTAGTAAACAATAGTACAAAACAAAAGGATGAAGAAAGCTGAGCTAGTGTTGATCCCTTCATCGGGCGTCGGCCACGTTGTAACGATGGTGGAGATGGCAAAGCTCCTGGTCCACTGTGACCACCGCCTCTCCATCACCGTCCTCGTCATGCAGCTTCCCTTCGACACCAAAGTACCCGTCTACCTTCATTCACTCTCTCTCTCTCTCTCCACTCAACCCGAACTTCAAAATCATTCAACTCCCAGAAGTCAATCTTTCCCCTTCAAAATCATCTTCTCACTACAACATTCAACATTATGTATTTCTAGCCATGACTTTAATTGTAGCTAAATATATGAATTTGCGTAGCTAAATAGTTTAGCTATAAATGCAATGTTTTATAGCTTATCGTAGCTAGAAGTGGCGTAGCTAAAAGTTAGCCATGTAACTTTTTGCTTACGTAGCTAACCGTTTATATTTTTTGCTATAGATAAGATTAGTATGTAACTAAAAATTTAAATGTTTTTGCCATAACAATAATAAGCTTGTAGCAAAAGCTTTGCCTTTATAGCCATGAAGAATAGTTTGTATAGCTATGTTTGTATTTTGGTTATACAAATATAAATTTATAACTAAAACTTGAAAATTTTTGCTACAAAAATAATATTCATGGCAAATATATTAACTTTTAGCTATGGACATGGTGTGTCAATAGATAAATATTGAAATTACTTGCTATGAATACTTTTAATTTGTAGCTAAATATTATAATTATTTGCAATGGACCAAATTATTTATATCAAAAATTTATAATTTATTGCTTCAATTAAAATTAATTGTAACAAATATTGCTATAATTAACAAATTTAATAATAATTACAAATTTATAACTATATTTTTCTATTACATAGATAATATGATGTCATAAGAAAAATTCTAATATAAAAGATAAAACATTAATACATTTATTTTCAACCAAATAATTGTCTACTCATAAAATCCTTCATCCTAGTAATTTAAAATGTTATCAACTATTTTTTTTTTTTTTTTAACAAAATATAAATGCTTCAATGTCATAGCAACTTTTTCTGACCATTTAAGAGTTTCCACCAACCTGCAATATCAAAGTAAAAAAAAAAATAAGATTAATCATATGCAATAATTGCATACCACTTTATGATTAATATAAAAGAAAAACTAGTCTTCATAGTATATATGCATTTTCAAAATAACTTACTCTTTCATCCAAAGGGATTTGGTTATTTGCTGAAGATTGTTGACCTTGAGTTGTAAGTATCATCATGAACTTCTCTTCCCATCGTCTATTCATCCCCTCCATTTGCTTTTTTACTTCTTCCAATTTCTCATTTGCTTCCCTCATTGCCTCCTCAACTCTACATTTGCTTCCTTCCTAGTTGTTTGTACTTGTTTCATAAGTTGTGCTTCTACTCCCAAAATATTCAGTAGTACTTTTTCCTAGGCCATAAGCACGCAAATATTAATGTTACAACAGCATCATGAATACAGTAGATTAGCAGAAATGTGCTTGCAGAAATAATGGTTCTACAACAAAACTCAACATAAATATACATAAGTGAGCTTGTGTTAGTTTAGGTGTAGAATAAATGTATAGGTTACATATTCTAATGTAAGGAACAGAAAATTGTAGAAAGCAGTGGGAACTAAATAAACCAGTTCCATCTAAAGCTTTTGATAAGACAATCTAGCCAAAGATAAAACTAATTTTATTTATTTAAGCATGTGCACTCAACTTTTCTAAATTCATTGAATTTTTTCTTCATAAGAATTTCAGTCCAGATTTTTCTTGCCAACACAACAAAATAACCATGATAGTTTCCAAAAAATAAATTCAGCGAATAAATTTACCAATGCCTTTGATGCATGGTGTTTCTTCTTTTTTCTTAGAAGAAGCTCCCTATATCATTGCTACAACTTTTTGTAGCATATAACTACTTAATCCCGTATTTTCCACATCAGTACACTTTTATGGTTACACAGGCTAGTTTTCCTATGCATCAGATGAAAATAAACTTTAACATCTATCTAGAAAGATACTTTGAGGAAATGGTCAAAAGTGAAACCTCAAAATTCAATCAACAATTTATAATTATTTAATAAACTTTCCACACAATTTTTATGCAGGATAACAGAAAAAATATTTAACCAACATTGTATGCAATGTAGAAAAAAAAATCCTAAGCACAAAAGAACAACCCGAACTACAACTATCCAGATCAAATTAATATACCTTTCTTTTCAAAGTTTATAGAAGTTGGAAATATGACCTCATAATGTCTTCTCAAATGTCTCCCAAGTTTGATCAACATCTTTGCAATATTCTCTGGTAAGAATAGGAAATAAAAGATCCAATATGATCAAAGCATTACCCCCAAACCAAAAATCAGGGTAAAAAAAACACCGAGAATAGCCTCCTCTTCCCCCTACGGAAAAGATATCAAGAAAAAAAAAAACTATGTTAGACTGGAATGGGTAGTATGAGATGAGATACCATTCTCTCCATCCCCATTCTAGTGATCTATTCTAATCTCAATCTTGTAAGACGAATCCTGGACCATAAGCACGCAAATATCCAGTCGGTGATGAAAATGAATCCATTCTCTTGCGAGTCCTTGCAAAACCTCTAGAGAAGAAAAGAGAAATAGAGTAGTATAATAGTACTTATAAACCCTAAATTAAACTACTCTGAGAAGGGATTGGGTTGGGTCCAACATATGGGCTGCAAATTTGAGCAAGGCCCAACTTATATTGCTTGAATGTGGAATCAATCGAGATGACATTATTATTATTTTATCAATGAGTTAATATATTATGATTTATTTATTTTTATGAATAATTCATCTAATCAAATCCAAATTTTATTTGAATTATTATTAAAAAAAATTAATTCATTGAATAAATAAATTGTTAACAAGTTATTATTACCTCGACCATGAGAAGTGGAATCAATTCTCATAAATGGTGCTAATGTTTAGGGGTGCGCAAATATTTAGGGTAGAACCAGAACCGGAACTGGTTTAATTCCAATTCCAAATATGTCGAAACTAGCACTATGCAGATACGGGTCTGATTCCACCACTCTAAGAATCAGACCTAGACTCGGGAACCAAAAATGGAACCAAGGTCCAAGTACCCAAGGTGGAACCAACGAGTACCTGAGAACCCGAGATGTTGAAGACATTGATGGTAGAGACTTTGATGATGAAGATTTGCTCGTATAGATTATTAAACTGTTTGTTACATTTTTTAATATGTGACATGACGTTTGTTTGAAAGCTTCTAGATTTTTGATGTAGTTTTTATTTTTTAAATGACTATACGACTTGAGTTCAATTCCTTTATTTTACAAATTATGCTTTCAGTTTTATAAAATTTCATGGTTATACAATTCAATTAATTTGCTTTGCATATTAATACTTTGTGAAATGAGGCAAGTTTTGATAAATATATTAATGGTGGTTCGGTTATTTTGATATATGCACGAAGTTTTTAACAAGGTAATTTTGCAATATTTTATATGATTTAATTTGTATCATATCTCCTATAATTTTAACCATATTTTATATGATTTAATTTGTTTTTCTATTTTCTTGCATTTTCTATATATAATTAACAATAAACAAATGCTATCATTCTCAAATATTAATTGTATTATTAAAGCTATCATCATCATCTAAAATATACATACAAGTCCATTCACACAAATATTTAACATTACCAATTTTTATAATATCACATATCTTATACCTAAAATCATATATATTTCATGAAGTGTTAATTTCAAATCATCATAGAAAAGACAAAAACCGTAGAGATCATTTAAAACAAAATTTTATTTTACAAAAGCCCATACTACTCTTAGATCGCTGAATAGTTCTTTTAAGTTAGCTATTAGTTGAAAGTTCTAATTTATTATTGACCTTAACGGTGTGATTAACACTATGTTTGATTATAACTATTTAATTCATAAGTAATAAAAATATAATTACTCATGGGATAAATTAGAATATCTATAGCTACATACCATAAGGATTGTAGCAAATTAATTTTCACATTTTTTGTTTGCTACAAATTCAAATAATTTATAACTAATACACACATACTAGTTGTATTTTTAAACTAGTAGCTAATACTAATACTATAATATTGATACTACCATGAAAATAAAATTTGCATAGCTAAACACCTTAATTAGCTATAAATTTCAATATTTTATAGCTAATGAGCAAATAATAGCTATACAGTTAAACTTGTAGCTAATAATGATACTATATGCCATGTAAATAAAATGTTTATAGCTAAATACATTAATTAGCTACAATGTTTTATCATAGCTATTACATTGTGGCTCAATGACTAGTTATTGCCACAATTTTAATAAGTTAAAGCAAGAGAAAACTATTAGCTTTGAGGGAGGAATTCTTATCACTAAAATTATTTCAATTAGCTATAAATATTGAGTTTGGTAGTTGTAAAGATGTATTTGCTATAATTTTCCTTTCTGTAGCTAATTTTCATAGCTATATGTGTATAATGTTGTAGTGTCTCGTATAAGCTTCATGGATTCGTTCGTCAAAAGCCATTAACCCCTCGTCAAAGAAGCAGTCACTAAGCTAATTCAGACGGAGTCAGCCTTTGGTGGCTCACCTCGACTCGCCGGGTTCGTTCTCGATATGTTCTGTGCGGACATGATTGAAGTTGCGAATGATTTTGGAGTTCCTAGCTACATTTTCTACACCTCCAGTGCAGCTTTTCTTAGTATGCAGTTACACTTGCAAGTTCTTTGTGATGAGCAAAACCAGCCCATCACTGAGTCGAAAGACTCGGTCACTGAGTTGATTGTCCCGAGTCTCGTTAAGCCGTTTCCTGTTAGGAATTTGCCTATCGTGTTCACAGAGAAAGTGTGGACTACTGTTATGTTTCAACAAGCGAGGGGTTTAGAGAAGCAAAGGGCATTATTGTAAATACTTTCAAGGAGTTGGAATCCTATGTGGTCGAGTCTTTCTCTGATGGTAAGTTGAACAACACCCCACCTGTGTATACACCGGGACCCATTTTGAATTTAGAGGGTGATGAGATTGATCGAGGATCAGGTGGATCTATCTCAATAACAGAGATCAAGGAGTGGCTTGATGATCAACCGCCATCATCGATTGTGTTTCTTTGCCCCGGGAGCATGGGAAGCTTCAGTGAGGACCAGGTGAAAGAAATCGCTTGTGCGCTTGAACATTGCGGCCATCTGACGGACGTGCTACCTGAAGGTTTCATTGATCGGACGACTAAGATTGGAAAAGTAATCGAATGAGCAATTTGGATGTTCACAAGAATTGATTCATTCAAAAATTTGTAATTTCATTTTCCCTTTTTATGAGAATCAGCTATAATTGTGAGAATAACAAATGTTACATGGATTGCGGAACTGAGAAAGGCCTTGTTTAATGACCTTATAAGAACTTAAATGTGATAAATGTATAATCCTGCAAAGGGTTGTTCTGTGATGTTGGTGATGGTGGTAGTATAGTGATTCGTGGTGTTGAATATGCTTTTAAGCACTAATTGTTAATATGTGGTTTTGTATTGTGTTGTTGGTGAGGAGTTTGTTTTCATGGGGCACTAATTGTTAATATGTGGTTTTCAGTACTAACAAAGCACTGACATCATTTACAATTATTTATGTATGTAAATCGATAAAAGCTTCATATGAGGAATCATCAATCATCCACACAATCAACAAGAAAGCTCAGCTCGTCTTTATTCCTATACCAGGCATCGGCCACCTCTTCTCGACAGTGGAGCTAACCAAGCTTCTCGTCCACTGCCACCACCACCTCTCCATCACCGTCCTCGTCATGACACTATCTTCTGACTCCAAAGTCAACGCCTACCTCGACTCACTCTCTGCAGCCAACCGCATCAACTTCGTTCATCTTCCTAACGATCACCTTCCACTTCCAGAGTCCAACCCCAGAAAAACGTCAAAGAAGCTGTATCTAAGCTTCCCACTCCGAGTCAGCCTCCGATGACTCACCCAGACACGCCGATTCGTTCTCGACATGTTTTGTATAGTCATGATCGATATTGCTAATGAGCTTGGAGTTCCGAGCTATATCTACTACACATCGAGTGCAGGGTCTCTCGGTTTGATGTTTCATGCGCAAGCTCTTCATGATGATCAGAACATGCAGACTGTTGTGTTGAAAGAGTCGGATGCTGAGTTGGAAGTACCGAGTCTCGTTAACCTAATTCCTTCCAAGGTTTTGCCTTCTACGTACTTCGATAAAGATTGGTCTATGATTCTGTTTGAGCAAGCGAGGCGGTTCTGAAGGTTAAGGGTATTGTTGTAAATTAAACGGAGCTGGAATCCAATATGATAAAGTGTCTATCTAATGGTGAAACCAACATCCAGCCCGTTAGCATTGATCTCGGGTCAGGTGGGTCCACCACAAAATTGGAGATCATGGAGTGGCTTGATGATCAATGGCCATCGTCGGTTGTGTTTCTATGCTTCGGGAGCATGGGAAGCTTCGATGAGGATCAGGTAAAAGAAATTGCATCTAAGGATGAAGAGCATCCGCAGAGTGATGAGAAAAACGAGATGCTGGAAGGATTAGTCATGGAAATGAAAAATGTTGATATAGGGCCACCTGAAGCTCCAATCTAGATGCCATCTCTCAGTTTAATGAAAACTCAGAAGATAATGAAACAAGAGTTTAAAAGTTAATCCATGTGAAAAGTTCAGTGCTTGAATTGAAGCAAATGCAAATTTGTAGAAAAAAAATTCTAACCATTGGATATCATACATGCAGTTTCTATTATTATAAGTTTGCTGATAACTATTGGTGTCCAGGCCACCTTCATCTACAGCTTTGAAAATTTTCTTTTCTTCTGGGGGGTGGATAAGGGATCCGGACCGCTCCTTTGATAAAGCAGTGATCTTGTTGCACACGTATATGAAATCTCCACCACAAAATATAATCTTAATATATTTAAAAATTATTAGAATTTACTCTAATCTGCATAAATAAAAAGTGCTTTTAAAAAAAGCACTTTTTGTTGATTCTAAAGCCTTTTGACGAGTTTAAAAGTATAACAGAAAACCAAGCCTTAAAACTGCCAACGAAACTCACTCATCCATCCATGGCCTCTGTTCCTCTTCTACCACCATCGCCACCACCACCGCCCACCACTTTTCCGCTACCCCTTTCCCTTTCACCGCCGCGTCCCAAACTCAAAACCCCCGCAATCCGTTCCCGCCTGATCAAAATATGCCAGGAAGGCCAAACTCATTTAGCCCGTCAACTGTTCGACATAATTCCCCGCCCAGCTACAAGTGCTTAAATGCAAATGGCAGATATTGATACACATTATGTAAGAGAGCAAGTTGTAGCAAATTTGATAAGAATTTAGTATGTTCCTAGTGAAGTGCAAAATGTTGACATTTTTACAAAACCATTGGTGGCAACTGGCAAGACAGTTTGTGTTCTTAAGAAGTAAACTTATTGTTATACCATCTTCTCTGTATTTGAAAGGGCAAGCAATTAGTGAAGGTAAAGAAGAAGTTACAGCAGTAGTAGAAGATGAGTAATAGAGAATTTGAAGCAGGAGTAAAACGAAGCAGTAGATATTGAAAAGATTGTAGCAGCAGAACAGAAGTACTGAAGAGGTGAAGTACAAAGTTTATAATTACATTTTTTTTGCTTCCCTTCAAACAGAGTGATATTCATTGGATTCAGTGGAGCCAACTGAAAAACCATCAAAAGAAATATAATTATAACAGTAATTTATGTGGAGCCTCTTGAAGCAAATTCAATGTGTAGAATAATAAATTTAATTACCTGATTAGAAATGATGAGCATGTTTCTAAGTTTCAGTGTTATTTTCTTCATTCTGTTGGATGAGAATCGGAATAAAGCTCTTTATTTTTTATGTACCGAGGTAATTCTTCAAAATCATCAAGCACCAGAGATCTGTAGACGTCTCTTATGATTATCATCTTCGCTGCCCATTTCAGATGCCTGCTCTTATGACTATCATCTTCACTGCCCATTCAGATGCCTGCTCTTCATGATTTCACTTCACTTCCGTTCAGGTGCCTGCTCTCATGACTATCATCTTCACTGCCCATTTCAGATGCCTGCTCTTCATGAATTTCATCTTCACTTCCTTTTTCAGGTGCCTGCTCTTGATGATCTTCTTGGCTACCTATTTTGGGTGCCTGCTCTTGATGACTTTCATCGTGGCTTCTTATTTTGGGTGCCTGCAAAGCCAGATATTGGAAGCATCAAATGCGAAGGTAGTCATATTAAGCTTTTTGTGGCATTACAGAAAACATGTATGAAAAGAAGTTCCTTATGTGAAGAATAATGACCAAATCCTTTTGACTTCAAATCTTCAATTAAAAATGGAAGTACCTTTGCTTCCGCATGCACACTTTTATTATCTTCATCCCATGAAAATCTTGTACTTCTCTTTGGACAACGTGTGACATCCAACTCAGTAAGTTTTGGAAATATGAATGATATCCACATGGCAAAAGTTGGTGAGTCTTGGCAAATCTTCCAGGCGCAAACACTGAAGTTGAGGCAACTGGATTTCTTTCTCATCAATCACATCATTATCTCCAAATATTTCTTCTAATTCAGAGTTATCAATTACTTGTAGGTCTTCCAGTTGTTGAAAACCCCGAGCTATGGAGATAGGAAACAATTTTTTAATTTATGGCACTTTTCCACTCTAATCTTTGATAGAGTTTGGAGAAGATTTGCTCCAACTCTTTCACCATCTTAACATCAAGATTTGCTCCAATTCAGAGTTATCGATTACTTGTAGCCTTTCAGTTGTTGAAAACCCGAGCTATGGAGATAGGAAACAGATTTTTAATTTATGGCACTTTTCCACTTCAATATCTGATAGAGTTTGGAGAAGATTTGCTCCAACTTCTTCACCATCTTTAACATCAATGATTTGCTCCAATTCAGAGTTATCGATTACTTGTAGCCTTTCCAGTTGTTGAAAACCCGAGCTATGAGATAGGAAACAGATTTTTAATTTATGGCACTTTTCCACTCTAATAATGATAGAGTTTGGAGAAGATCTGACCCAACTTCTTCACCATCTTTAACATCAATGATTTGCTCCAATTCAGAGTTATCGATTACTTGTAGCCTTTTCAGTTGTTGAAAACCCCGAGCTATGGAGATAGGAAACAGAATTTTTAATTTATGGCACCTTTCCACTTCAATCCATGATAGAGTTTGGAGAAGATTTGCTCCAACTTCTTCACCATCTTTAACATCAATAATTTGCTCCAATTCAGAGTTGTCGATTACTTTTAGGACTTCCAGTTGTTGAAAACCCCGAGCTATGGAGATAAGAAACAGATTTTTTAATTTATGGCACTTTTCCACTCTAATCTTTGATAGAGTTTGGAGAAGATTTGCTCCAACTTCTTCACCATCTTTAACATCAATGATTTGCTCCAATTCAGAGTTATCGATTACTTGTAGCCATGTCAGTTGTTGAAAACCCCGAGCTATGGAGATAGGAAACAGATTTTTTAATTTATGGCACTTTTCCACTTCAATATATAATAGAGTTTGGAGAAGATTTGCTCCAACTTCTTCACCATCTTTAACATCAATGATTTGCTCCAATTCCGCACATTCTCTGATGCATAGTGTTTTCAATTGCAACATATGATTTCGAGCAACAGTTGGTGAGAAGATATGTTTGAGCTTGTTGAAGTGGGTTATTGTTAAAGAGGTCAAATTCTTCAAATTTGAGAATGATAATTCATGTTCTAGTACTCCACAGTCTTCCATGCTTAATTCTTTAATTTTTTTGAAGAAGCCACATCTCAACCCAGAGAAAATTCCATCCCACGATTGACTACTGTAATTACTCATCTTTACAACCTGCAGATTCTGAAACTGCAAAATAATGTTATAAAAAGTATATTAGATAAATTTATGCCAATAGATTATACCGTACTACCAACTACTAAAAAAAAAGTTAGAGAATCTTTTATATATTTTATTTAATTAACTAAAAAATCCAAAAATTCTAAGAGAAGCTGAAAGTAAATTGAACAATAACAAAATAGATTCATTTATAATTTTAAGTGAATGGTCTGATATGCTATTGCTGAATAAGTTTTATTAAACGTGGAAGAATTTTATTCCCATAAAGGGAGTGGTGGTAATTGTTAAACTTAAATTTTAACAATTTTTTAATAATGTCTATAGAATATCTATCCAATTACTACTAACTATTATGATTGAATATTACCAACTCTTCAACAAGGTTATCATGCATAAAATATCTATCCAATTAGTAAAGGCCTAATAGATAAAGATTTAACATACCGCTTCAATAATAATAAAGAAAATGTTATTTTCCCTCCTATAATTTTCTTAATTTAACTCTGTAAATCAGAAAGATAATTTCAATTAACTCAACCTTTGAATACACAATTTCTAGGGAAAACAAATCACTTTGATTTTACCAAAATTTATTAGATCCACATATTTTAACAATTAAGCAAATCTTTTTTTTTTTTTTCTTATAGTAAAATGAAATAATAATAATAATAAAAATTTGTACAGTTTGATCACTAGATTGTAATGTGTCAACTTGCAATAGTATAACTATATCTTGTGTCAATTCGTTATTACATTATTAAATACAAGTAATATATATATAATCAAAACAAAACTTTTACTTTAAAAATTTTTATTTTAAACTTCAAAATTGAACTCTGATTAACAAAAAGTTAATTAGAGTTAAATTTAATTTTATATAAGAGCAAAGTAATTGTATAAATTTAAATTAGTTCTTTTTAAAAAATAAATTAAAATTACTCACAAAGTACAAAAATAAAAATAAAAATAAAAAATAAAAAAGCAATAAAATTATTAGGGCCCTTGAGACTTAACAATCTCTCAGGGGCTGAATAAAATTAATGTCAATTGTAATGAATAATTATATCATAATAATGTATAGCTAAATGATCATTCTAAAGGTCTAATAGATAAAGATTTAACAATTATGATATAATTTTTCATTGTTGATACCTCACTTAAAGTAAAAAAAAACAAATGGTGGTAAAATCTTTTATTTAACCAATAAAACTTTTTTCTTTTCATATTTATCGTAAAGAAACTAAAATAATTTATTGAAATTTATGCATGTTGATTTTTTATTATTTTAATATTGGTCAAATTCAAGCATGTTCGTCCATTTTAGGCAAAAAAAAAAAAAAAAAATGTGATAGTAATTTGTGTTGAGATAAAAATAAAAATTAAAAACATACCTCTTCTAGATCTCCCTCTTTAATTGTCAAATTCGGACATCCTTTCATCTGGAACTCTTCCAAAGTTGGCAGAGTTGAATGATTATTTTTTGGAAAGAATCTAGTAAGCTTTTCAAGGTAGTAAAGCTTTAGCTTTTTTAAATTAGGCAACTTGATGTCCTTTCGTTCCTCTGCAACTTCATTTTCTTCTTTTCCATGAAATACTTGCTTCAACTCTGTTGCACCATATATGTCAAGATCTGTAAGTTGTATAAGACCTGCTGCAACAAACACTGGAAAAACATATTCCAATCTCTTGCAATTTGAAATTTGGAGATCTTCTAATTTCGAAAACATTTTCTCTCCCCTGCCATTATCACCCTCTTCTATCTTGATCAAGAACTCCAAACTCTCACAATCTATTACACGAAGTGATTTCAACTGCCTCAAACTCCGGACAATTGATAAAGTGAAAAGATAAGCCAAGCTTTTGCACCCTCCCACATAAACATCCATAAGACTTCGGAAGTTTACAATATGAATGGACATGGGCCCCTTCCATATACACTGCAATTCTGGTAACAATTCCAACTGTAACTTCGCTAAACTTGGGTGCAACTCAGAATTTTCTTCCACCACTTGCGATGCATCTATCATGCATTTCAAGTCTTCACAATCTGAAACCCAAAGAGTATTCAACTTCTTCAATCCCTTTTGGTCAATGCTTGGGAGGATATTTTGACAACCTGTTACTCGTTCCAAACTAAGATGTTCTACACTATGATATAGTGCTTTAAATAATGCAGTCAATAAGGTTGCATCAATATCAGCAATTTTTAAAGCTTTTGATGATTCTAAATATCCATGAATACTTTTGTTCACATGAATTTGATACCTTGAAAGTTTGGAAAAAGCAAAGTCTTTTGGAAGGCATTTTGAATTTATTTTCAAATACAGAACAGCCAAGCGAGGTAGATCATTTACCTCTGAAAGTCTAGCATTGCCTGTTTCAATACTCCTCTCTTCAACCTGCCTTTCTTCAAAGATGTCCTCAATGTATAATTCTTCTAATTGAGAAAAGCTTCGTATCAAATTGGATGGTATTCTTTTTAGCTGATTACACCCACGTAAATCCAACATTCTTAGTTCTTTGAGTCCACTCAATTCTATTGGTAATTCTTCAAAACGAGAACCTCTAAAGCTAAGAATCTCAAGTTTGTTCAGCTTGGCAAGGAAAGAAATGTCCCTCAATTCACAATCAGACAACTCCAGAGTCTTGACATTTGTCAAGAATTGAAGTGATTTCAATGAAAGGTCTGCATATCTTAAACTTACAACTTCTAGTGCCTTCATCTCTTGGAAACATTCATCTGAAACTTTCAACTGCTTGGAAAAGGAAAACCGTTGTTTTTCACCACCCAATAGCAATATTTTAAGCTTAGGACATACCAGTCTAACAGAGAGCTCTTTTAGTTTGTTTTCCAACAAGGAGATTGCTGTATATTGTTTCCAGCCTTTCTCCCTTGACAACTGTGTCAAATCCCTGCCAATTTTGCTCATGAATACATTCTCCCCCTCTGATGTTATCCATAGACAAACATCACGAAATATATCATGCATTCTCACAAATTCTTTTTCATAAGCATCTAATAGCAAACCCAAATCCTTCAAGGTTTTAACCATTGAACATAGGCCCCTCCTTGCTTCTTCAATGGATGAAACACCTTTATATAAATCTAACCCCACTCCTATTCTAACCAAATCCTCCAAAGGAATTTTAAAATCCTCAGGAAACAGTGAACACATCAAAAAACAGAATTTAATTTCATCGGTTTTCAAGTAATCATAACTCAACTTAAGAATGGCATAGACACCGCTTTGTGTACTATTAACATGACTTATATCCTCCAATTTTGATTTTTTTACTTTTTCACACACAAATTCCCATGTTTCAGTATCCTTCTTTCCTCTCAAGTGACTTCCAATGGTTACAAGTGCTAAAGGCAAACCACCACATTCTTTAGCAATTTTAGTAGCCCAAGTATTCAAGTTGACAGAGTCATCATCTATACCTGCTTGCCTTTTGAGTAAAGTCACTCCTTCGTCTTCCTCTAAAACATTTAGAGGAATTAACGATTGATACTCCTTATAAGTGTATACGTTTCTGTAGCGGGTTGTCAGGAGAATTTTGCAACCTTTGCTCAATGGAACACCTATTTTTTCCTTGAAATTGAATTCTTCCCAAATATCATCCAGGATTATAAGGTTATTATTAGAGTCTGAAAATCTTGAAAGCAATCTCTCAGCTCTTCCCGCTTCAGTTTTCTCCGTAAGGTCCAAATTTAGGAGTTCAGCCAGATTAGCTTGAATATTTATGAAGTTTGGAGTTTGGGATACAGTAGCCATCACAACCTCCTTAAAGATGCCCTCTTCTTTGACCTTTTTACTCACTGCTTTTGCTAAAGTTGTTTTACCCACACCGCCCATCCCATACAATATAACCATATGGATGCCATCATTTTTAAGTGCCTCCATAATCTTATCAAAAGCATCCGTGGTAGGCCGGAAAGAGTCAAAATCTTCAGGTACTGAAGGTTCACCTGATAGAGGTGCAAGATTGCCCACTCTATCAAATAGGCCTCCATCTACAGATACCTTCTTCAACCGAATGCTGGTCTTTGTTGCTTTCCTCCCCAACTGATGTCGAGAGACCCAATTAGGACACCACCCATTAAGACAAGTCTTGTTAACTTCTATTTTTCCTTTCAACTTCTCAACTTCTCCCATGATTTTTCTCGAATCAGACAACCAATCTTGTACAGTTGCCTTAATTCTTTCATCATTTCTTTCTGCAGCTTCGATTTCTTTCTCCACATCATCTTTTTTCGATTTCAAGTTTCGTTCTGCTTCCAAAAGATTTTCAACAATTTTGTTGAAATGAAATAAATAACGAGTTTGGTTTATGGAAGGCTCCACCAAGTATTCTCCAACCTTTGATACAATAGCAGTTACAATCTCCATCAATATATCTGTTATCAAATAGAAACTATATCAGTATAAAATAAGCAAACAAAAATTCATCAGTAAGTGTAAAATGCAATTATAGAGAGATGAATTCTTAAAATCAATCTGTCTAAAACAGTTCAAATAACATCTGTTTTAGTTTTTGAAAATCATATGATGCTACTACTGATCTTACACTTTTTCTTTGTAACATTGAAACATGTAACATAATTGTGATCAGTGAACAGGTAAACTTCTAATGTTTCATGATTATTTGTTTGTTGCTACTATTGCTTTATTTGTTTGCTGTAGAAAAGAAAATGTATCATAAAAATGTTGTGAGACGTCCTAGACATTATAAATCTGTGTTGAATCGTAGACAGAAACGCGGTAATAGAAATTGAGGGACTGGTGGTCTGAAGAACTGTATGGGAAGGTGTGGAGGTAATTTCTCTAGCACATCCAGTAGCTAGGCCTAGGGCCAGTGGGAGGCAAGGGAAATTTAATGGCTAATAGTAGTGCAATAGAGCCTCTAGAGGGAACAGAAGATGTTGTGTGACAGTGTGGCAGGTACCATGATCGGGGTGCAACTTCAGTCTGTTGTCAATGCAGACCATTTGGATATATTAAGAGAGAGTGCCCCAAATTGTCTCAAAGTGGAAGCGTATTTCAGAGGGCTGTCCAGTAGGGCGATTAGGGAGGGAGTAGTCGTTTTAAGGGACAACAGAGGTCCCAACCTAAAGAAGGGTCTACGTCATGGCAACAGAGGAAGGCAGAGAGAATTAAAACAGCCTTGTATTTAGAACCGAGTATACACCATGACCCAACAAGAGGCCCAGACCATACCAAAGGAGGTAACGTTTTAGAAAGTCAGGAATGCCAAAGTCAATGTTTTGTAGAAAGCACTGAGTAACTCCATCCTGTCTAATTTCAGCGGTGACTATTAGGAAGTATTTTTGGAAGGGATGTCAGGTGCAACTGCCTTTTGTGGTGGATACACGAGTGGATGGATATAGATTGGAAGGTATTTCAATGGTGAGGAAATTGGAAAGTTTAACTGCAAGATGTGGTGGCCATGTGTTAAAGAAAGATTATAGGGTTTGGCTCCAGATATTCGTTATGCCAACTAAATGAAGCGAACATCAGAGTGGCACAACGGAAGCGAGTGACCCTATAACCTACAATCCCTAAGACCGTCCCTTGGATAGAAATTCAATGGAGTGATCATACGGAAGAGGGAACAACTTGAGAGAGTATGAGAAGGATATATCTGCACTGTATCCGGAGTTGTTCTAATCAGGTGTTCAAATTTCAAAGATGAAATTTCTTTAAGGGGGGAAGGTTGTAATATCCCATATTTTATGGATTATTTATAAAATTTATTTTGTTGTCTCGGGGAAAAAAATGTGAGTTTCTAAATTTTTTTGGGGGGCATTTTGCAAGAAAAGCTGATGTGGTAGGGTCATGAAAGAATAAGAGAATCACTGGGGTATTTTCACAATTTTAGAAAATTGTTTTATATATATGTGGGCTGTTCTGTTCACCCAAATTGAGAATACTCGAGAAGAAAGAAAAGAGAGGAGAGGAGGAAGAAAACAAGGGAGAGATGGAACCGAGAAGAGAGAGAGAGAAGAGTAGAGAGCGATGAAGGTTGCTGGAAAATTGGCCGTCGGCGGGCAAACTCCGGTTATGGGAAGGAGTAGAGGAGGATTAAGCATGTGGGAGGTGAGTAAAGCTTGAGATTTCCCTCTTTGATGATTATTGATTAATTTGATTTGTGTTGTTTATGATTGAATAAAATTGTATGAGATTAAACTGAAAAGGTAAGATTAATTACAATAATGTTATGTGGATGTGGATAGAATACATATGTGATTCCTAAGCAAAAAATTGGTTAAAGATGTGTTTTTTGATATAAGGGTTACTGTGCAAAAACTGACTATCTGGAATTCCGAAAATCGTTTACATGTTTTGGGTTTTTGAATGAAGCTGAATTTTGGATATGTTGTTGTAGACTTCTTGAGGAGTGTTTAGAAATTTGTTTCACTCAAAACCTCGAAGTATTGGATTTCTATGGATTTTTTAAGTTTGCCCTGCAATTCTGGAATTTGGGTTTCCGACAGAACGAGTATTTTAGTAAATGATTTGATGCATCTATTCTTATCTAAATTTGATGATTTTAAATTCGGGTGAATCCTGTGGGTGTCTAGTTTAATTCTGGAGATTTTCATAAGGTTTCGATTAAAAGTCAAATTGTTATAAATTTTACAAGTCAGTAACCTAAATTCTGGAAGCAGTTGGCTGTTTTGAAAATGTTGAAAGAAAATTCTTTTTTAAATGGTTATTGACTCTAGAATGGCTTGGATAATTTACTGGAACCTCATATGTGTATCTTGAATGCCCCATTAAAATTATGGCTTAAATTGATGAATGAAATTTTTATGAAAAATCCTGGAGTGATCAGTGTTTGGTTATGAGACAGTTTTTGTTAAACGATGTTAAGTTAATCTTTTGGTGTTTTAGATGTCCAATGAATATAATTTTGAAGTGTTACCATAGGGAGATCTTTGCATGGAGAGGTCATTGGATTTCGGATAAAGGAAGACAAGCGCAGACATCGTTAGAGGATTCCAATCCTTTCTTTGGATCAAGAATTTAGCTTCAAAAGGTGAGTGGATAAACCAAAATTTCCTTGCTAAAAGTCTGATTTTCTGTTGTATGTAATGCGTGGAAGCTTATTGTGGTGTGATGTGTGTTTTGGTGATGAAAAAAAAAAATGCAGTCTTGCTTGGTGGGTACTTTAGTAGACTTGAATATTTTATGTTTGTAACTTAATGATGAATTTATGTGTTTATATATTTTGGATACTGAATAATGAGCTTGATTTTGAATTGATTGTGATTGGAAACAAATCCAGCCAATTGGTGGGACTGGTTTGCTTGATTTACAATTGGGAGTGTTAGATATTAAATGAAAATGGTATGGATTGCTTTAGGAGGTTGTGGATTATGTTGATGAATTGGCTTGGCCCAAATTTAAGAAGTTGTGAGTAATGGGTGTTTTGGGTTGGCTTTATAATTGTGAAATATTGGGTTTATTTATATTTGGGGGGCATAAGGCCCAAATTTCTTGGCTTTGGGTTAGTATTTGATTGTAATTGGTGGAAGGATTCCCAAGGGGGCAAATTGTCAGTTTTGCGATTATTGGAGTACAGGCAGGGGGCTAATTGTAATGTTTGAAACCTTTGGGACAAATAAGGGACAAATATGAGGCGTAAATTGATATTTTATAACTTAGTATACTTCGGAATATTATACTCGTATTTACATGATGGTTTTTATTAAGAAATATGTGCCACCCGTATTCAAACACTTGCATGAAGGCCTGTAATATTATTAAAGGTTGGGAAGTTCGAAGGTGGGATTGTGGAAGTGTTATGCTGACCGTAACCGCCTTTGTAGTACCGTCCCCCTCCAGACATCAGCTAGTATTTATATTTGGCCTCATGCGCGCAATGAGATGGTCCGTACTACCGCATTGTGATAGCATCCTCTCGGGACAGTACGAACACCTGATGAGCTCCAAGCGAGATTACAATATTCAAGTTTGGCCAGAGTGGGATTATGACACCCAATGGGTATTGGCTTGGGTGGGATTATGACACCCATTGGGTATTGGCTTGGGTGGGATTTGATGAGACTATTGGGCGGGTATTGGCTTGAGTGGGATATGATTAGCCTCATGCGCGTATTGAGATGGCCCGTACTTCCAAACAATGACGATCTATACCATCCTATCGAGACAGGTCGGGTGCCTGACAAGCTCCAAGTGGGATTGCACCCCGAGGATAGACCTTGGGAGAGATTTGATCGATTACACTGGGCGGGTATTAGCCTAGTTGAGCAGCTAGTTGGTTGTCTATATTAGGGACCTTGGGTACTAGTGTGGTAGTGGTGGTGGTGGTTGCATTAACTGAATGAGTGGAACTTGTGAACATCTAGTGGGTATAGGCTGGGATGAAATTTATGAATATCCAGCAGGTATAGATTTGGTGGAAATTGTGGACACTTGGTGGGCATTGGCGTGAGCAAGAGTGGGTTTCGTGTCAGGAAATGTTTGCTCAACTTTGATGATGGTGTATCGATTTTCGTGAAAATAATATGATTATCCATGGTAATTGGAAAGTTTGTACAAGGATGCGAATTACTTTGCTGGGCATGAGTGGATACGAATCAAGGAAATTATATAAGGAAAGTGTGGTTTCGTTAAGGGAATAGTTACGTGTTACGTGAAATGCAAGTTTTGCTTTTTCAGGTTTAAGGTTGAAAGTTATTTTCATTTATAAATTGCATTTGGTTGGCTGACAGACATATGTTCATTAGCATGATGTTTATACACATTAGAAGCACTCTAATACATTTGTTCTATAAACCATTTTCTAAGATTTACATTTTCATAACTATGTTTTGTGTTACACTATTGTCATTAAAGTTTTTATGAATGGAATTGGTAAATTGTTTTTGAAAAAAAAAAATCACCCTCCTCTTGGGATCTTGAGTCCCTCGGAGTGCCTGGATTCGACGGGATAGGGAATACCCGGGAGGGGGTGTGACAATAAATCCTTGTGAGTACGTTTTGATTAATTTTGCCCTTTTGGAATAGATTAATGCTAGGTAATTAGCATAAAAAATCTCATCATATTCAACGAGTGAAATATTGTGTTATTTAGATAAGATAAACAAATAATTAGCCATGTTACTTTTTTCTATGCTATATAAAATTTAAAAAATAAAAAAACAGAGAATTTATATACCTTGCTTAAAAACCAATGATATTTTTGTGAAATGTCAAGCTTTGAGTAACTACCAACAAACCAGATGCACCTGGTTTTGACTAGACCTTTATCTGAAAGCGGTAAGACAAGAAAATAAATAAGATGTGAAGTAATTAAATATAAATTAATGTTAAAAGAGGAAAAACTATGAAGCATTGTTTATCATTCCTTTAAATAATTTAATTATGAACAAAAAAGGGAAAACTTTTTTTATTATTTTGTTCCTATTTAATAATAAACAAAGTCAGTTCAAACTAGAGTATGTATTTCATTGTAAGTATTAGTGAATATTCTTGAAGTCCCTTGGTTAATGTTTGCTCAATTACCACCCCAAGTCACATCTAACCTCACTAATATTAAAATTTTTATTTCTAAATAACATAAGATATATATACATATACAGTTAAACCTTAATAAATTACTATCATTGGGACTATAAAAATTTATTAACAAATCAATATATTAAGCAATCGTATAAATTAATAAATTATTAATTCATTGAGGCATTCTTTATTTTCTTTTTCCAAAACATTGAACCTAATGCATTACATATTGTGTATAGTTAATGTGATGTATGGAATAGCTCATAGTTAATGCACTTAAAGCAACAATCACATTGCATAATTTTCTCTTGCAATACGAGAACATTACACTAGTGGTTCTTAACGCACTTAAAAAAGTTAGAGATGAAATCTAAGAAGACATCAATTTTAAGAGGAAACAAATAACATTGGACTCATTTTATAAAAGGCCTCCTAATCGAGTCATGCCTATATATAATTTTTATGTATAGGGAGATTATTAGTTTATATATCAAGTGGTGATTGTGTGTTTGTGTGTGTGTTTTTTTTTTTTAATGTATTATCTAATAAATTTAGCAAATTATTAATTTATCACATTGGTCCTAAGTCAGGACCGGTCAAAAGTATTATTTAATTGAAGTTACTAATTTATCGAGTATTAATTTATCGAGGTTTAACTGTATTTTTTAACTTACACAAAGTGAGCTATGGCTCAAGAGGTCCACCTTCAGTTAAGACATTTTCTTTTAATTTTAAGATTAAAATATTAAACTATATGATAAATTTTGGTTTCATGAGGATGCTCTAAAGCAGAAGTTTTAAATTAGGTTTACTCCGTTAAGCTACATCTATGGAGATTTCCTTATTATATTTTCGAAAGGTTTTCATTTTCATTCATAGTGTAAATATTCAACATAGAAACATAATTTATTGAAGAATATTTAATTATTATAATAAATGTCAAAAGCACAAAAGAAAAAAGGACATTTCTTGTACCTTTTTTCCATTAAGAGATATCTTGACACGATAGAAAACTACACACTGTGAGAGAATGCTATGACTTGTATTCTGCAAGTGAAACAATAAAAATAAATAGCTAAACAATAAATGACGAATTTTAAATATTTTATATAATCATATTCGATCAAACTAGAAGATATTATCCTCTTCATAGGGTTAGTAGCTCACAAACCCGAGTAAAATATCCTAACAATGTCTACTAATTAGTCAAATATCATAAATTATTAAGAGTTACAAGCTAAAACTAGGAGACAACAAAGTCAACAGGTACCTCATCTTCTCAAACTATATAAGTTGTTATACCTCTTATCTTACATTTTAATGAAAATCATTTTTCTAGAAACCTCAGCTCGCAAGTTTTTTCTCTATTCTTAGCATAAACTGACTTAAATTATGCAAATGTAATAAGAAAACGAAATTTCAACCCTATCTTTGGAATAATAGAGACAACCTATATGCAATATTATTCTAAACAAAAAAATTTGTCTATTTTAACCCATGTGGAAAACTAATTTAGACATGTGGCCACTGACCACACATTCTAAATAAACTTCAGCCAAGCTAATGAAGTTCAAAACATTAATTTTTGTAGTCTTTCTTTAACTTTTTAATGAAATAATTTATAGTGGTATAATAATGAAGTTTAAAGATTATAAGTATCATACCCAACTGTGATGATGCTATTTGAGCTTGAGAATCTGCGGTCACAATTCACAAAGTTTAGTTTTATGAACTAGGATATATATCTAAAGCCAGTATAAAGTTTGTGACTGATACCTTCTAGGTAAGAGAATCTGAAGTAAAATTCCACACTCAGAATGAAGTGTATTTGAGATCTTTGATTAGATCCTTGCAAACTTTAAGTTCATAAAGATGTTAGCAAGTAAATAATAGCAAAAAAAAACCAAGTAAAACCAAAAGAGAAGCTGAAGTTGAAACATTATACCGATTGGCGTTCTCCTCGAAATGAAACTTCTCTGGTATCTGTAAATCTTTGCACAATCTGCTTTTATCAATGGATGACCCACAATATCTCCAATAACTTAACCTATGAAATGAGAAAAAGATAACAAGTTAATCTTAGAAATGAATAAAGATAATAAAGAAAACAAGCATTCAATTTTATGGGGTATTTACATTTTTTAAGGAGATTAAACAAGAAATTAAAATGAAATTGCCAACCCAAATTCTTGACGGGTAGTAATTAGTCCAAAGTTGAAATAATGAAGTTCAAAACAAATTAATTTTTGTAGTCTTTCTTTAACTTTTTAATGAAATAATTTGTAGTGGTATAATAATGAAGTTTAAAGATGATAAGTATCATACCCAACTGTGATGATGTTATTTGAGCTTGAGAATCTGTAGTCACAATTCACAAAGTTTAGCTTTATGAACTAGGATATATATCTAAAGTCAATATAAAGTTTGTGATTGATACCTTCTAGGTAAGAGAATCTGAAGTAAAATTTCACAGTCAGAATGAAGTGTATTTGAGATCTTCGATCAGATCCTTGCAAACTTTAGGTTCATAAAGACGTTAGCAAGTAAATAATAACAAAAAAAAACCCCAAGTAAAACCAGAAGAGAAGCTGAAGTTGAAACATCATACCGATTGGTGTTCTCCTTGAAATGAAACTTCTCTGGTATCTGTAAATCTTTGCACAATCACCTCTCTGCTTTTATCAATGGATGACCCACAATGTCTCCAATAACTTGACCTATCAAATGAGAAAAAAGATAATTAAGTAAAATATAAGTAACTGTATTATGGAGCCACAAAAGCATTAATAACAAAATAAGTAAAACAAGTTAATCTTAGAGATGAATAAAGATAATAAAGAAAACAAGCATTCAATTTTATGGGGTATTTACATTTTTTAAGGAGATTAAACAAGATATTAAAATGAAATTGCCAACCCAAATTCTTGACGTGTAGTAATTAGTCCAAAGTTGAAATAATGAAGTTCAAAACAAATTAATTTTTGTAGTCTTTCTTTAACTTTTTAATGAAATAATTTGTAGTGGTATAATAATGAAGTTTAAAGATGATAAGTATCATACCCAACTGTGATGATGTTATTTGAGCTTGAGAATCTGCAGTCACAATTCACAAAGTTTAGCTTTATGAACTAAGATATATATCTAAAGTCAGTATAAAGTTTGTGATTGATACCTTCTAGGTAAGAGAATCTGAAGTAAAATTTCACAGTTAGAATGAAGTGTATTTGAGATCTTCGATCAGATCCTTGCAAACTTTAGGTTCATAAAGACGTTAGCAAGTAAATAATAACAAAAAAAAAAACCAAGTAAAACCAGAAGAGAAGCTGAAGTTGAAACATCATACTGATTGGTGTTCTCCTTGAAATGAAACTTCTCTGGTATCTGTAAATCTTTGCACAATCACCTCTCTGCTTTTATCAATGGATGACCCACAATGTCTCCAATAACTTGACCTATCAAATGAGAAAAAGATAATTAAGTAAAATACAAGTAACTGTATTATGGAGCCACAAAAGCATTAATAACAAAATAAGTAAAACAAGTTAATCTTGAAAATGAATAAAGATAATAAAGAAAACAAACATTCAATTTTATGGGGTATTTACATTTTTTAAGGAGATTAAACAAGAAATTAAAATGAAATTGCCAACCCAAATTCCTGACGGGTAGTAATTAGTCTAAAGTTGAAATAATGAAGTTCAAAACAAATTAATTTTTGTAATCTTTCTTTAACTTTTTAATGAATTAATTTTTAGTGGTATAACAATGAAGTTTAAAGATGATAAGTATCATACCCAATTGTGATGATGCTATTTGAGCTTGAGAATCTGCGGTCACAATTCACAAAGTTTAGCTTTATGAACTAGGATATATATCTAAAGTCAGTATAAAGTTTGTGACTGATACCTTCTAGGTAAGAGAATCTGCAGTAAAATTCCACACTTAGAATGAAGTGTATTTGAGATCTTCGATCAGATCCTTGCAAACTTTAAGTTTATAAAGACGTTAGTAAGTAAATAATAACAAAAAAAACCAAGTAAAACCAGAAGAAAAGCTGAAGTTGAAACATCATACTGATTGGTGTTCTCCTTGAAATGAAACTTCTCTGGTATCTGTAAATCTTTGCACAATCACCTCTTTGCTTTTATCAATGGATGACCCACAATGTCTCCAATAACTTAACCTATCAAATGAGAAAAATACAATTAAGTAAAATATAAATAACTGTATTATGGAGCCACAAAAGCATTAATAACAAAATAAGTAAAACAAGTTAATCTTGGAAATGAATAAAGATAATAAAGAAAACAAGCATTCAATTTTATGGGGTATTTACATTTTTTAAGGAGATTAAACAAGAAATTAAAATGAAATTGCCAACCCAAACTCTTGACTGGTAGTAATTAGTCTAAAATTGAAATAATGAAGTTCAAAACAAATTAATTTTTGTAGTCTTTCTTTAACTTTTTAATGAAATAATTTGTAATAGTATAATAATGAAGTTTAAAGATGATAAATATTATACCCAATTATGATGATGCTATTTGAGCTTGAGAATCTACGATCACAATTCGTAAAGTCCAGCTTTATGAAGTAGGATATATATCTAAAGTTGGTATAAAAGTTTGTGATTGATACCTTTTAGGTAAGAGAATTTGAAGTAAAATTCCACACTCAGAATGAATTGTATCTCAGATCTTGTCTGTTTTAGTTGGAAAAAAAGCAAATTGAATGAAATTATTCAAAGTAGAAGACCAATAATTTTGATTAAAACCAAAAAAGGGCAGGAAATTACCTTCTTCTATAAGCCAATATAATTCACCATCACTAAGGAGACTTCAGTTGATTTGATTAGAGCTCACAGATATGAATTAGTACATCAAAACCAACTAAAAGCAGAAAATAATAAATAATTATATAGAAACTGACCTTGTATATGTCTTCGATCAGATTCTTGCAAGTAAATAATAACAAAGAAGAAGTTAATTAATTGAATCAACTAAAATAAAAAAAGAAGCTGAAGTTGAAATATCATACCGATTGATGTTCTTGCAAGTAAATAATAATAAAGAAGAAGTTAATTAATTGAATCAACTAAAAACACAAGAAAAGCTAAAGTTGGAATATCATACTTATTGGTGTTCTCTTGGAAATGAAACTCCTTTTGATATTTGTAAATCTTTGCACATAAAACTGAGTTGAGAGAGAAAATGTAATTTGGAAATTAATGTATTCTAACAAATATGCGTGAAACTGCTTTTATCATTGGACGATATGATTCAAAGACGGAGGTGGAGACATAGGGGGACGGCAATGAACTTTTTTCTGACAAAAGAAAAAGAAGAAGACAAACAACTTTATAATTTCAATGGCCCACCATGTTTGCCATTACCTTGCTGGATTAAAGAGACGACAAATGTAAGGAGCTGCCAAGAAACTACAACATTTTATATTTGAAGTGTTCAATGTGCGAAAGGGTCAAGGTCTTGAGATATTGTATTTTCTTTTTAATTATTAAATTTTATGAATATTGATAGCGTGTTCAAGGATAAAAGTTTACTTATTATATATTATGAAAATTCATAATCTATTAGAATTATTTCCTTTTTTCAATAACTAACTGTAGTAGGTTATTTACTATATAATATTCAACATTATTAATTCTCATAAACAATTTTAAAATTTTAATTTCTCAATACTTAATCTTCTTAGTCAAGAACAAAAATGGTTAAGAGATATTGTCTTTTAAAAATATTGTTTAACGTTATTTAACATGGTCTAACATATTTTAATTAGACTGTTAAATACTGTATCATTAAATCTAATTTGATTTGGTATAATCTAGCGTTATATGTTAATAAATAAAATTTTTATTGTTTCTTAATTTTATAATTACATATATCCTGTAAATAAAAGTTCTGACATTAGAGAAATTAGAATTAATAAAATAATTATATGGATACAAATCATTATTTAATGTCATAAGTTAGGAAAATAAATCTCTCTTTTGTTAAAAAAAAAAAAAAGAAGAAAAAAAACTTAATTATTTTGGGTGGATTTATTAGAGATAAATTTGAGTATAAATAATAATTAAAGGTCATAAAATAACATCTTAATTAATAAAAATATTTAATTTTTCGTATATAAATAATTAAATATTTTATAAAATCGTTTATGGCGCCCTAGGCAATTGCTTGACTTGCCCAGGCCCTTAGGTAACTCCGATTTGAGAGCTGAAAGACTTTTTAGTTATGACTTGAAGAAATTACTCAAAACTTGCACAAGACTTCATCAAGAAATTATAAAATAAAAGACGTGGGATGAGATGAGTCATGAGATAGTCTCGGTCTTTGCTGGGGACAAGGGAGGGATAGAGAATCGTGCAGGTCTTTATTGGGTTGAGAATAAAAGTAACAATATAATATAGCATTTAATTATCAAATCAAATAAAATAAAGCATGCACATGGGACTGATTCACATGTACTCACATGCTCGCCTAGGCAAAAGAGAGAGAATAGTTGATGTGTAATAAAATAAAGAATAAAACTATGTGCACTAACTAATGGGTACTAATTCAAGTACTAACATTGGAAATTTGAAATTTGAAATTTTCTCTAAAAAAAAATTATAAACTTTCAATGTTAGTACTTAAATTAGTACACATTGGTTAGTGCACATAGCAATACTCTAAAATAAAATAAAGCATGAAAGCATGCGCCTAGAGTATACATTTTATTGTAAGTATTAGTGAATATTCTTGAAGCCCTTTGGCTAATATTTGCTCAATCATCACCCCTAAGAAATAAAATCATATCTAACCTTATTGACATTAAAATTTTAAATACAATTACTAGATATATTATTTAATTTTATAAATTAATAAATTATTAATTTATCGAGACATTTTTTAGTTTCTTTCTCTAAAACATTAAACTTAATTCATTTATATATTATGTATAGTTAATGTGGTATGGGGAATAGCTCTTAGTTAGTGCACTTAAAGCAACAATTAATCACGTTGCATAATTTTCTATTGCAATAAGAGAACACTACTCCAGAGCTTCTTAATGCACTAAGAAAAGTTAAGATATGAGATTCAAGAAGACATCAATTTCAAGAGAAAATAAATAACGTTGGACTCATATTTTACAAAAAGGCCTCCTAATTAAGTTATATATATATATATATATATATATATATTTTAATGTATTATCTTATAAATTTAATGAATGATTAATTTACTACATTGGTCCCAAGTTAGGACTGACAAAAAATATTATTTAATGGAAGTTATTGATTTATCAAATATTAATTCACTTAAAGCAACAATCAATCACGTTGCATAATTTCTTTATTCTTACCCATCCACTACATCTTAATCTTCAATAAGATCTGTATTTGATAATAAATAGATTTAATGAGTTGTATATGGAATTTAAAGTCCATTATTGTTGAATGAGTGTAAAATTTTGAGGAATCCAGCAAAAGGTGTTGTGGCGTTAATAATCCATCCATCACCAAATGCACATTCTTCAACAATTAATAATTGACTTAAATCATAACATCTGAGATTTATAGTGGGTATGATCTCAGGATTCAACAACAGATGTGGACTCAAACCATTTTATTTTTTTTATTTTCCTTTAATATTCTTCAAATTTTTTATTTATTTTTAAATAATTGTGAAAGTGCTTCTACAAACAATTAAGGTAGTATAATTCATGTCTCTTTAAAACATGAAAGATTCTAAAATTTGCATTGTTTATTTTAACCCTCGTCATATACATTGGGCTTACCGCTTCACGTGTAGGGGATTAACATAAATAATAGTAACAAGAATAAGAAATACCAATGGGTCCATTATCAAAGCCACCATTACATTATGCAAGATAAAATTATAAAAAGAAAACGACAAAGACTCGGCGTCAACTAAATGGCTATTATAAAAGACGTGAGATGAGGTAGTCACATGCTCGCTTGGGTTGAGAATAAAAGTAACAATATATAGCATTTAATTATCAAATAAAATAAAATAAAGCATGAAAGCATGCACATGGGACTCATCATGTACATGGGACTCATCATGTACTCACATGCTCGCTTAGGAAAAAGGTAATTCAAAGAGAGAGAGAGAGAGAGACTAGTTGATGTGTAATTTCCTGAAAACTTCTTAGAAGCTTGGTGGTATTTACTCTGCTCTTTTTTTAAGCTAACAATTTATAATAAAAGATACAAAATTTATAGATAATATATAATAATGAAGTTGTGATCATACCAATTATTTATGGTTAACCGTGCATAAAATTAAATATAAATTATATTAATTTTTGGTAAACCAAGGAAGCATAAAAACAGTGTCGTTTTAATTAAGTCGAAAGATGTCATTTCATGCAAGAGATCAGATGAATCTTGACCGCATATTATTCTTGAGATCCAACGGCCTCAATCCAGCCACTAGGTCAACCATATATAAACTCATTTGTTTCAATTCGAAAGAGAGAGAATCATTGTTATCTTCAATATTCGATTGAGAAGTTAGGGTTTGTAAAGTTCTTACTCACGCTTTGTGTAATCAGTTAGATTAGAGTGCTTAGGGGTATAATCATTCTCTTGAGATAATAGTTAGTACAACGAGCTCATCTCTTTCCTGAGTTTAACGTGGATGTAGCTTATCCTATAAGGATAAGTGAACCACGATAAATCACCATGTTTTTTCTGATTCTTGATTTGTTTATGTGTGTTTGATATTGAGTAGAATCCCCTAGTTTGCATAAGAGAAACATTTTTTTATCATTCCTTTAAATAATTTAATCATAAAAAAAAAAAAATTATTATTTTTTTCAAGTCAATTCAGACTAGAGTATGCATTTTATCGTGTAAGTATTAGTGAATATTCTTAAAGCCCCTTGGTTAATATTTGCTCAATCACCACCCCCAAGAAATAAAATCATATCTAACCATATTGATATTAAAATTTTAAATACAATTACTGGATTTATTATTTAATCTTATAAATTAATAAATTATTATTAATTTATCAAGACATTTTTTATTTTCTTTTTCCAAAACATTAAACTTAATGCATATACATATTGTGTATAGTTAATGTGGTATAAGGAATAGCTCATAGTTAATACACTTAAAGCAACAATCAATCACATTGCATGATTTTCTCTTACAATACGAGAACACTACTCCAGAGCTTCTTAATGCACCAAGAAAAGTTAAGAGATGAGATTCAAGAAGACATCAATTTCAAGAGAAAATAAGTAACGTTGGACTCATATTTTACAAAAGGCCTCCTAATTGAGTCATATATATATATATATATTATTGTAGATGCAAAAAATCTACCGTCATGAAAATAGGGTGTGATCCCGTGAGGTTGAGGTCACTGACAATCCTTAGACCTGCACACATGAAAGGGCAAGCGTGAAGCTTCCGTAAAACACCAAGGTGGTGTTTGCCGTAGGCACTTCGACGCTCAAGTCAGCAAGGCTGAAAGAGATTTAATAAGAATTAAGGAGAAGAAGAATTACCAGGAGTCTTGTCGGAGGCTAAGACTATGGCGGAGGCGTCGGGTTCTTGGAAGCAAGAACTTAGGAGCAAATAGATGGTTTTGAATAGTGTAGATTGACTGTCGGAGATTTCCCTTAATGAGAGGGTAAGCCTCTGTTTTTATAGTAAACCCAAGGGGTTGGAGTCCTAGTAGGACATTGAGTCCTCTTTTTTGGGAGATAATCCCTATCAAGAAAGAAATATGATTTNTTTATAAGAATGAAAGGCACTTAAGAAGAAGCATGCTTGTATGCAGTATGCATCACTTTTACTTTTTTATAAGAACGTCCCGAAACAAAACTAAATAAAATTAATTAGCATTGACATTGGCTTTATAACATTACAATGAAAATTTTGAGGTGCAACCCTAAAATAGGGACTTAAAAATTGAATCTCAATTCTCATTAATTAGAGTTCGTATGAAATATGTTTTGTCTTTTCACATAA